AGGAAGGGGATCTGGTGCTACGTGTCATAGGTGGAATTATAGATTACATCTCTTAATATGGAACATTATAGAACATTGAAACTGGAACAATATACAGAAAAATAAGTATCTTATTTCTGTAAGTCTCTTTCAGGGCATACTATAACCTCATCACACTTATTACAATCTTATTATGCCTAACATGAGTATTTCAAATTTAAACTGTTTAAAAGATTAGATAAAATTACATCATTGTAGATTTTATGATTAATTTCAGAGTTTTTTTTCTTACAATATGTAAAATTCTATTTTGTTGAACTCCTTTAGCTTTCAGTGGGAGAGCTCATCTGAATAACCGTATCTACCATAACTCTAAACAGGCAGCTTCTACAAATATAGAGATGATGTGTCATCTCATTTTGCAGTTCACAAAATTTTAAATCTGCTATTGTAGTTTCCCTAAATTTAATGGAGTTGAAACAATTAGTACTTTTTTTTATACCACGATTGCAGTTAGCTTCTTTAATAACATTAGATGTAGTACAAAGTAGAATTCCATCTTAAACAGCCTGTCGATTCATCAGGCTTCGTCACTTTCTAAGTTCAGGCTCGGCAAGGCAGGTCAATGGTTATTTAATCGTATCAGATGGCTCGCAGCAGAGCAGGAGTGATGGTTAGTCCTCCTATTTGAAGACAACAGAAGCCACTCTAACACTAACTCAGATGAAATATAGCATCCTAGATAACTTATGAAATCCAAATTTCTTTTAAAATTTATATTTACATAAGTAAATATAAAAACTGCTACCTTATGTTAAGAGTACAAATGTAAATATATGGAAATTGTTTCTCGTAGAAAACCACGTGTCTAGCCCAATTTGGTGTGTAGTGGGCTCTAAATATAATTTTTAAAATTCCACTGCTTGTGATTTCTTTTATTTTTGTATATTACCTTCAGTTGTCACATACATATATATACTTGCAGTAATAGCTGAATTCTAGTTTATGTACTTAACATTGTTTGAATATATTTAATTCAAATAATTTAAATAGTATGTAGAACATAATTTTGATTAATTCTATATTTAGTTGCTTAGAAATTAAAATCTTGAGGCTTGATTTTTTTTTCCCACATAAACACTAATGGATGGAAGCTCAGCTTTAGTAATGTGTTAACCAAGTTGCTACCTTCAAAAAATACCCAAGAAGAAAATTCTTAGAGAGGATTAAACGAAAATAGTATGTTGACGAAAGGGATAATTTAAGCATAACTCCCCACTATACCTATACTTCTTAAGATGTACTATCTTAAAATCTTACTGTT